TATATATATATATATATATATAGCCAAATCAACATATCTGTAAAATTTCAGACTATTCTTATCCTCATCACAATGTGAAACTACACTGTTTAAGCTTTTAATATCTCTAAATTATATTTGGGTTGGTAATGCAATAAACTAAATGATCAAAACACAATTAAAATTGCAAATTGGTACCATATTTGCATAAGCAAATTTAGAAAAGTGTTTGTTTTTTTTACACATGTGCAGTCCAGAACATAATCAAGCACAATTTTTGTGCCCTCATTTTTATTCCCATACCTTAATAACTTTAATGCATTTAATGGAGATTAATTCCCAAAGCGGCTACACGGTAAACACACAACCTGTAAAAAGAGTGGATTACTGTCAGCTGCCTTCCTCCTTATCTGTGTTTTATCCACATCTGCCAGCCTGAAGATAAGAGCTGTCATTTCCACTTTTTTGGGGTCTTGACACCACCTGTCTGTTGGGAGCCGTTTGCACGATGAGCATTACTTCATCGACTGATTCACACAGACTGTGTTTATTTTCCCGCAGTCTCACAGTTTAACAGCCTGAGCTGCTTGTTAAAATTTCAACTCAATATTTTTTGTGAAGAAAATCTAATTTTTATTAAATCTGAGTAGTTTTGTTAAAAACAAAAACAAAAAAAGTCACCAGAGTAAGCAGTAATGAKGCTAATCAGGGGTTTTTTGCTTTCTGTGTTTTTGTTAAAAACTAATTTTTCCATCACATTTTGCTGCACTTGCTGCTGAAAAACAAAGGAAGATGATTGTTGTTTTTGTTTTTTTTTGCATATATAGGTATGAGCATTTTTGTGTCTGACTTTTACCAAAGTATTTCAAGAACCACTGAATAAATTTGAATTAAACTCGCAGAAATTTAATTGGATGTACATCTACAACTGATGAGCTTTTAGAGTCAATCCAATTCAAGATGACCTAATAGCATCTAATCCACATTAGGCAAGTTTACATAAACTGAGCTATACATCAATCTGTAAAAAATACTCCATGATTTCTTACATCCTCACTGTTCTCATCTCTCAGTACAGCCAGTTTTGGGAAACGTATTTTATTGCTAGTTCTGTTATTTCTATTTTAAATTGTCATTCTAATTAAGCCTCCACCATACTTTCCTCTGGTTTGTAATTTAAAAAATGACTGCTGCATTTCCATCCTTCCTCTCCATGTGACAACAATAATGGATAATTTACTCGGTGATAAAAAAAAAATACATTTTTGTCCAAGTATTTCTGACAAAAAGTCTAAAATACCTATATCACACACAATCAAAACCCAATGACAATATAAAAGTTTCTCAAAAACTTGTCCACATGCATAGAAAAAAAAATATATTTTTGAAGTTCTTTATAAAATCTCACCAAATATTTGCTAACGTGTGTTTGAAATGTGCAAGGTGCCATTTAAAATGAATGAATCATAAAGAGACAATCTGCGCATGASAAGTAGCTGAGTCATCTTATTGTAAGATTAAGTTATTTGTAACGTTAAACTCTAATTTAAAAATTAGGATTTCAGTACAGAAGAGTTTTGAACAAATGAGACGACTATGTTTGATATGTTGATCGTAAGTGCAAACCTTTTCTAGTAATTAATAAAAAAACTTACTTTATATCAGCGTTAACACATTTTACTATTTGAACATTAAAAGAATACTATTTGCCTTGTTCCACTTGTATTTGAAGCAATTAAAGCTTGAAAGTGCAGCAATTATAATATATTGTCAGCTGTTTATTTTGTTTTATTAACCTGTAGGGTTAATGAGTTCAGCTTAGAATGTTTTTAGTCTAATCTTTCAATCCAGCCTCAGCTGTTGCTGTATTTCTGCAGGGATRTTATATCACAAGGAAGTGAGGTGTCTAAAATCGCAGCTCCTGACAAGACAGAGCAGATGTAAAATCAAGCAAGAAGAAGAAGCAGAAGTAGTGAAATTAAGTCAAGTTCAAATGGGTCATGTTATAAGCCTCTCAGGAGAGGAGTGATACGGAGGGATTATCCAATGAAATGAGGGAAGCTAATCAAACGAATGAACTGGAGACTTCGAAGCAGGACTTTTAAAAAGGGGATGATTGGCTATAATTTATGAATAAAAGAATTTTAAGACTCCACTCTTTGATTTATTTAACACATATACATCCAACCCTTTTTCCCCTCATCCTCAGAACATTCAAACGGCTGTTTTATCAAAGCACCTGCATCTCTAAGATATGTCCACGGTGTCCTTTAATGCTGATGCAGTAACACACCAGTGGCACAAGTGTTAAATGCTGATTCCACACATCGGATAATGAGGGTGAAATGCACCTTTTCACATTTCAAACAGGAAAGCAATTTATTATGTCACACAGGAGCTGGTGGTGTTTTCAAACTCTGCGATTGCGGCTAACACAATGAAAGCTCTTTTGAAGCCATTTTCAGGTGAAGCCCATYCAGGATTTTATGGTCCCTCGTGTCWGGCTCTCCCTGACTGTGCTCAGTTTTGCATAGACGGCATCTAAGAGAGAACAAAATAATTTTGGAAAGTGCGTTTGAAGAAATGGAGTTATATTCGTTCAACCGAGCGCTTGAGGGAAGGACAGCATTTCAACCTCATTTCACGCACACGCCGGGCTGTGAAGCTGCTGTGAAGGCAAAGGTTGGACACACTAAACATCAACTTTTTAAATTGAACTCTGAATGAAATTTGCTGACGAATAAAAAAAAWATCATGACAAGGTGGTTGACAGAATCCCTGCCTTGCTTTTAGTGTCGGAGAAACCACTAAACATTTCTTTATATTTCCTATTTTCAAACATACATGCACCACATGAATAAAGCCAAACTGTGATAAAAAAACAGGTTTTAGAGCACACCTTGCAGCAGACCAGCTGGCAGTCATGTAGTCTTAAAGTCAATACTTCATCACAGTTTTCTCTCTCTGCAGACCCAGGGAATGATTAATGTGGCATATTTGGAAAATAATTTTCAGGTTTTTTCTTTTTTGAATGGCAGAGTTGCATGAAGTGAAAATGTATTTTCTGCTGCTGTGCTTACGTTTACTGAAATGAAATCATTCTCAGCCAGTGTGCAAAACACTGTTTTAAACAGTGTCTACATTGAAGCCTCAAGGCAATCTCAAATTAACTCGATTGTAATTAAATAGTTATTTTAGGCAGTTTGTTTAAGTAATATTTATGTGACACACAGTGCACAGCGCCTCACCAGAATACGAACTCCATGGGACCAGATGCAGATTTGCAGGATCAGGTATTTTAATTTGTGTTTTTGTGCTGCAGGCAGAAGCA